ACCGACTCGCACGGTAGCGGGCTAGCTCGTTATGCTGTGATCTGTGTCTTGGAACATATCACACGTGTTTGGATATTTTCTGGTCTACGTGTGGAGATTGAACAGCGCTCTGCGTGAGTGGTGTGTAAAGTTCCACACCATCTCTACACTTGAACGTGTTTTAACGTTGACATTTCGACGTTGTTTTTACGTTGCTCTCTCCTTGTGTGTTTGTCTGTGTGTGTGTGGCTGTGTTGCGTGACGGTCGTGTCGTTACACTTTCGACACAGGTGTAAACTAGACAGAGGGCCCTCAAAGAGAGTGCATACCTCGCGAGCGTGATGTAACATGTATACATGTGTTATAACAGCTGGCGCGTGCTGGCTTGCTGCTGACTGGACGCCCTAAGGCTGAGCTGTGCCTGAATCGATTGAGTCGTGAGCGTGTGTATACAGCTGGCCTTGCTGCTGGCTACACAACACGAACACACACCGAGAGCGATTGCATTACCTCCTTGACAACTCGCGTTGCGCGGCGTAAAAACGTCAGCACCTAGCTAGGTTACTGGAACAATGTGTTTTTAGCTCATCTGACGTATGTCAGATGCTCAGCTTGTAGACGTTCGCGTGATCGTCCGTGCGTGTGCGATCCGTGCGGTTTCTGCGTGCATCCGTTCAACAGTTGCGGCACAATTCTAAATCGGCTCGACTCTACGGATTCGAAAAGTTTGGGACGTTGGGGCTGTATCGAACAACGGTTGGATGCTCAAGATATGGGGTCAAGGTCAAGAGGTGTATAGAAGGGAGACATTCCCTCCTTAACTTTAGTAGAGGGAGGAATGCAGATTGCTGCGCAATCTAAACGGTTCGACCTAGGCTCGTTGGATAGTCGGGTGTATAGCATTATGTAGCGAAAAGCCATCACTGTCGAAATTGCGAGGTCACAGGTCAAAGGTCAATGGGGCACAGGGCAGATTTTTGACATTTTCTGAGGACATGGTCTGACGGAGTGATTGAAAAACTTTTTTGTTTCAGCGGTGACCTACCATTTTTATGGCTTTATTGAAAGGACCATGAAATGTACTTTCCGCTGACATGCGAAGAGTAAGTGTTGGATAACCTTTTGACCCTCAAGAGGAGGGTTAAACATTACAATGCACAATGCACCATAAAACAGGAGTTTCAGGCACTCGATTTGTATCAACCAATGGGATTTGGGAGGTATGCAGAATGCTGAAGGTTGCTGAAATGATTTGTACGCAACTGCGTATCTGCATATCTGCGCCTAACAAAGGTGTCACTACGCACGACTTAAATTTTACGTTTATAACCGTAGCAACAGACCTCAGATGAGCCCAGACGCTCTGCGGCTCTTGTTGGTGTTTACTCAAAATTGAAACATGCCAGGTGGACACTGCATTGTCATCAGGTGTGCTAATGGTTCATAAAAACTTCAAATGTGGCGAGACCAGATTTGTGAAACTTTAACTTATAATTACGATCTTGTGAGCTGCATGTGTATAGTAGTTGAACACGCCTGTGATGCGCTGCAGTTTTCTGGGTGCAAAATTGTCTCATTTTCAGTCATTTTCTATGGTGTCCACGCTTCGATGGAAATTTCACCCTTACTTGCCTAGAGCAAGCCGATCCATAGATTGGATAAGCATTTGATTCTTTTATCATTCTGAAACTCCCCTGCAACGATGACGCAGTAGTAATCCATGGGTAATGTTAGACCTACAGCCCGGCGCACACGTGAGTTATTTTACTCAAGTAAAATGACGCATGAGTCAAATTA